TACACTCAAGTTGACAGGTGGTAACTGGTATTATCGTATTTTACGTCAATCGTTTTGAACATACTTCCACATTCTATAATGTACGATCGCAGTACTATCTAAATTCTAGATCTATATTTCCATTACTGATGACTACGAGGAATAATTATTTATTTTACTTACTTAAAGTATATAATACATTTTCGATATGATAACTATACAGATTAAAGATACGACGGCAACAACACATGCATGACTTTCCTATGGTTAGTATCTTGAAGGCATCTGTAATTATTTCTCAACCCTGGATTAATCGAAGCCGCTTGTTGAAAGGCTTCCAGTTGATGTTTGGTGATTGGAAAGTGTGTCGCGGCCACCAAAAATACTACAGATTCCGTGTAAGGAGGAGTCGTAAGCGACCCTTCGTATGTGAAATAAGAAAACGGAATATTGTACAGTAGGTTAATCAATTTAAAGTTTTCAACTGTGCCGTTTCCGTTTATTGTGGCATCCAAAATGGCATCAACGATTTTTTCCATTACAGGATTCTTCTGACGTGACAGCTGAAAGTTATGGCTTGAATGCGGTTACTAAGACTATTAGAATATACCTATACCTGGAATAAATAAGCAACGACGAGAAATTTATCAGTTGTGTTTGATACAGATTGCGTATGAACTGCGTGCATCTCCAAAGGGTAGAAGTGCCCATTGACGTAGTGTTCGCTTCCTTTATTGTTGTCTTCTCCGTCCCCCCAGTGGAAATGTATATGGTTGAACTCGTAAGGAACAGATGTTAAAGGGGCTTTTAAATTAAGAGGCATACTTGATTCCACAGTTAATTTTACTAAAAATAATTATTGTATTAGGATCTGCAAAGGTATATGTGTAGGTACATATTTGGGAATTGTATGTCGATTTCCAGAAATAGGCTGTAAGTTGGAAATCCAAGTTTTTGAAGGCGACAATGAAAAGAATAGGGCACCAAAATCTAGGACATTTTGCCAGGACATGGAGGCTTCAAAATCAGGTTCGGCGGAAGAGTGAGGTTCAAAAGTGTCTTATCTTTAATTATTGACGCAAAAAATGACCTCCCTCTTTTTTCGACAGAAATACCTAGGGAAATACTCATTTTGAAGCACTAGGAGTCCGAATCAAACATCTCGATGATGTCAGTCTGTTAGTCGGTCTGTCTGATGTATGTACCCACAAATTTCCTTTCCTATTCATTCATACTCCAGGTCTTAGCGTTGTTTACAACTAACGTAAGGAGACTGCCTTGGATATTTGATCACGTGTCACTTGTCGATTTCAAATTGAAACGGGATCTGTTTAGCTTTTTGGAGGGAATCTTTTCGGTGCTCGCGTGAAGTTAGCCGTGATTTTTTTTCGGAACTCGATTTTTTCGAAAACGGCAGAGGTGCAATGGTAACGGGTTTTAGTACATTGAGGTACATTGAAATTAGAACCATTGCGATTAATTTTCAGGCCGCCAATTTTTCGCAGACAACTTCATGGGCGCCTAAAAATTGACATATTGATAAATTTTGATAAATTATGGACCTGTTTTCTTAAAAACCTTTATCTCATGCCCGAATTAAGTAAAACAATTCCCAACTTCAATGGAACCAGCCGCGGAGAAGCTATGAAATAACTAGAAAAGGTGAATACCAGCGCAATACTACAGAAATGATCGCACGAAGTTAAATTGGAAACTGCGAGAATCCACTTAGTGGCGGCGGTTAAGGATTGGTTTCACGCCAGGAGAGCAAGGCGTTCGTGGCTAGTTTGAATTCGAATTCGAGGCTACTTTTGATTTACGTGTGACAGTCTCGTGGAGTAATAGAGAAACGTGAAGATGTAGTGTATTTCCATGAAACACTGAGATTATAACACGAACCGGCGTGACACTTTACAAAAATCGTGGCGAGACAAATTATTCGATGGAGAAAACGAAAGACACGATGCCACAGGTAAAGTTAGAAAGCGGAGGTGGCAAACCGAAGCGAGGAGTGAGATATTTCAATTGTGCGTCCGGAGGACATTATTCCAATGAATTTCTGCGTCCGATAGATTATAAATCGTGTTTCAAATGTAAACAACCGGGTCATACAAAGGACAACTGCTTGACAGGGAACCGACTGGTAACGAGCAGACCCAGAAATGAACGTTCTGCTGAAAATACAACGGCAAAGGTGAGCACGAATCCACGGAGGTGCTAATTTCCGCGACACGAGTCAAACCTCTTAGCAGAGACTTGCTATAACCAAAGAGTAAGGTTACTCTTTGCTATAACTAGACCGCGCGTAACGTAGATTTTACTATAAACGCCTGTTGTCAAGATAGGATAGGCAAC